ACGTGGGAAGGACTCCTACTACATCCTCTACCTCAGACCAGAATATGAGACTATTCCCACTGCAATGCTTGCCTGAGGGAACTGCAGAACTGCAGAGCTTATAACAGGACAAGTCTGATCTCTGCCAATGCTCAAAACTGCTCCCTCCTGCACATTTCCGGTTGTTTTGCTCTGTCTAGGACAACAGAGCCAAGCGAGGAGGGCATTTCTCTTCTTTTCCTTGGAAGATCATGCCACAGACAAACTGATGCCATGGTCAAGAATTTTGTAGTGAAGAAGTATAAGTAGTTAAAGGAATTTAAAATACCAGCAGGTATAAAAAGTGATCACATATATTTTAAGCAAGGGCTAACTACTTGTAGTCATTACTATGGAGGAACTAATCTGTCATGCAAAATTACATCAGTACTGCTGATGTCCTGTCATACACGTGGTAGTAACCACAAAATAAGCATACAGAAGCATACAGAACAGGGAAAGAAGACATGTTAATTTATTATCCATTTCAAAATACAAGGATTACTATGATTCTTGAGGAGAGGCAGCATTTTTTGGTGCCTTAGTGCACCTTCCTGTATGGCTCTTACAATCTGCCTCCATTACTCGTCTATGCAAGAAAGCCAGATGTGCAATAAATTTCATGCATTCACAGCATTAATGTATTCTTGTCGGGATCTCTGGGAGAATACACAAACCAGACATGTTCATAAGCAGTGAGAGTTCAAAATTTAGAGTAGTAAGAAGAGAGCCGCTCATTAATATGCCATACACATACAGCATGGAAGAGGCAATAAGGCTGTGTTATAAGAGGTGCCACAGTCAATGGGTGGTGAAAGTACTTAACATCTCTCAGGAAGAATTCAGCCTCTCTCAGGATCAAGGCAGACTTCCTTTTTCCTTAGGGATCTCTATATCTTTTGCTTCTAACAAAATAAAACTGTAACCACACACATCAAAGTTTTACTAGCTACAAGGCCAGTAGAATTTCAGACATGATTTTTCACCATTAGATCAGGTGTCCATGATGCTATCACTAACAAGTGAGTAACTGCTTGTGAATGCACTTAATTGATAAGTTACCCTGCTACTTCAATTTGGTGGAAAGCCTATACTGTTAAACTCATCAAAGTATAGCTGCTTTCGTTTTTGTGCAAACTCCTATTGTCATTGTTATGTAACTGCTTATGCAATGAAAATATACCTAATACAAAAAGATGCCTATGTCACTGAAAATTATTCACAAGAGCTATAAATCAACTTGTATCCTGTTTCATGTTTAAAAACCTACTGCACATATTCATAAAATGTCACATATGCCCCAAAATTTGCTTTAAGTCACTTTCTAAAGGAACAACTGAATTGAACTTCTTGCTGAAGGTTATTCCTTAGTTAGAGGCCATGCAAAATTGTATTAGAACCTTTGAAGTTAAAACAAGAACATTGACTACTAGAGAGGGCCCTACAGACATTCAGGCATTTACTGGATGTAAATGTTCAGTGAAGATAAAAGTCACCTTATACTTTCCCAAAATCTGACCATGATAGAAATTCCACATCCACTTCTCCAGTTTTGTTTAAGGGCTGAAATCTTTATATGGAAGAAATCAGCAATCAAATATTATTAACGTTACTGATTGATTATATTATTATAGCCAAGTCATAACAACCTCACAGGGCACAGGACTGCAGAATCTCTACTGTTAGGGCAGAGGAGTCTGATTCACTGCAATAGCAGAAGAGATGAAGCCTAAGCAGAAGAGCTGCCTGGCTAGTGGGGTTTGCAGGAAATGGGATTTTATCTGAACTGGTGGCTTTGGTCCAAATCAGGCAGGAAACAAACTCTTTTGAAAATGCCCACAAACTGGAAATTGCCAGAAAGATCACTTCAGAAGCATCAAAATGTTTCCAAAACGCAATTCCCAAGTTTCCAACCCTGCGGCTAATCAGCAACAGTCTCTGACAACAGCAGCAGCATATGTGAGCATCAGCTCTGCACAGCGGCTATGGACGCTCCCAAGCCCCTTTGGCTCCCATACAGCCTTGCCACTAAGGACTGCCACCAGAAATCTGTCCCCAAAGTCATGAGTCCACATCAGAGAGCGCAGGAGCTCCAGCAGTCTTGGGTCCTGCGGAGATTCTTAGAGGTTTCAGACATGGAAGTCAAGACCTAAATAGAGTTCAGGCTCCTGGGATTTTTCAGGCATTTAGCTTTACAGCAGTTTGGAAATGCTAGCCTAACAACATAGGCTGGAGTTTCAAGACCCCCAAGCCCTGGCCAAATCCTTGGCACTATCAGGCAGACTACTCCAGAGGAGGCTGCATCTCCTGTGCTGACCTGCTAGGAAGAGCGCCCCTGGAACCACAGATGCTCAATTTGGCAAGAACTCACCAAATGGGACAACTTTCAAACAAGACAGCAAATGTATTATTTTCCAGTTAAGCTTTGCTTTACCAGTAAATTTCTAACTAGCACTAAGAAGGAATATAAAAAGAAGGCCTTACTCTCCACTGCACAGTTTCATACAGAGTCATTTGTACTCAGAAAACCATGGTACAAAATAACACTAACTTAGACCAACCAGAAGATCTTGAGACAAGTGATGGACACTAACATTTGCTGATCAGAAGAATTCAGCAGCAACACCTTCAGTTGTTTTGCATGCCCTGGCTGCTCACTCCCTCTATACCACACTATACTTCCTCAGTTCGCCTAACAACTGGCTGCAGGGTTGAGCTCAAAAATTATTTTCCAAACTTTTAAAGTATGCTAGAGTTTGTGTTCTGTGCAGAAAGCTAAATCAGGTACTGAGAAAAAGGCTGCAAAGATAGAGCACAACCACTATATTCCCATATCGTCTTTGGTTTGCACTGCAAGTGAAATTTGTTACTAAAAACTTCAGGTAACTGATATGCAGGTTGACGAATGTGAAAGAGCAACACTGCTACCCAGGAACAACAGCAGGAGAGTATGACGCTTGCTTTTGCTTCTGCAGTGATGATTAAGAACTCCAGGGAAGGATCACTTGTTTTCTGACTCTCAAGTGCATGATCTAATGCTCTGAGATTCCATTATTTATTTCTGATTCCTTTCAACAAAGGGGGTTTAAATGATGTATTTACTGTACAAACCAAGTCTTCTTATTTTATTGCTGAAGGTGTTACTTATTTGGATCATATAAACATATTAATGCAACATAACAATTACTTTCTCTTCTGCAGTGTACATTTAGCTGGTCATATCAAGAAGCAATAAAAAAGAACACTTTGCTGCAGTTGTTTGAGCGGAGGGTGATGGGGCACATTTCAAATGGTCTAGCTTATATATCTTGAGCTAGGTTCTTCTCCAGACTGTATTTTCAGCAGCTTAACTTTTCTGACTGCTCTTGTCTGTAACTGTATCTTTTGGTCCCTATGGCAGAAAGCTACACTTCGTCACCCAAAGAGTCAGAAAATGAGCCTTAATCAACACATATCTTTTTGCCCCATTGTATTTGCTGGTCTGGCTGAAAGGGACTGCAAACGTACGATCCTTTTCACAGTACTGCCAACTGAATGATCTTTTGTATCAGGACATCCCAACCAATAAATTAAGCTGTCACCACCACAGGGTTTCCGAGGAAGGGGCTGCTAGCTCTGATTTGCAGTTTCATATGCCTTACAGATTGAGAGGCACTGCTGCTCATGACAGCCTCCACTCTGGAGATGAACTGCAATCTTGAGTGAACTGCAAGCGAGAAGGCAGAATAGAGGCATGCTGGACAAGGGAGAAAGTAGGTAAGAAAACAGATTAGCAGGGACTAATGAGGAAGACAGTAGATATTTCTTTCTCCTGCTTAGCAGCACGTTAACAAGTATCAAGTTGCATGTCAAGGCTGATGCAGCACAGGCGCTCCCATCAAACCACCATCACACCTGCATGAAAAAGCAGCAGCACAGCACATCAGCCCAGGCTACCCTACGGCCCTGTAAAATGTAGCAAAGCCACTGAAGCCGGGCAATGCTGGAGCTAGACTATCTCACCTCACTGGTCCCCAATACATGAAGCAGAAGCTGGTGCCACTCCCACACATGGAACTAGTAAAAGACTGAATCTGCCTTACAGGGCCTGAGTCTGCCCTTGCACCTTCTGGTTATTCACACACACACAAAGTGGCTGCAGCACGCAAGATGCTTTCAGATAGCCCTGGCAGCTATTGACAACCAACCTGTACAGACTTTTCAGATTACAAGAGGTGTAAGGATAGGGATGATCTAGGTCCATAGTTATCGATGATTTCTTCCTTTTAAAATTACCCTGAAGACATTGGTCTATATCTATCAAAAGATTCTTAATGAGTTCAGTAAATTTCATTCAGAGGTTTAGGTTAATATGTACCTCATTATTCTCTAAAAGGATCAATTGCATACCTGGAAGAAATATTAAATTTCCAGGGCCCCTTAAGTCTGTGCCAATAAAGGTACCAACTGCAGCTGTAGTTTTCAAGAAAAGAAATATTAGAGCAGCAGCTCTAGAATTTATAATCTGGGATTGCAAACTAAATATTCTCCATGCAAATGTTTCAATGATAGAACTGTGGGAAGAGGGAGACCATCTCCTTTTTTTAAAAAAAAAAAATATATATATATATATATGTGACTCCAAACATGTATTTTGAAAAAAGCAAAGAACTATGACATTTCTGCTCTGCCAGAAAAATGATCACATCTTGATGTAATACTTTGCTTTCTCACTTCCTTTTCCAAGCTGAAATGTCAACTATTTGAAGTAAAACCAGAATATTACTCAAACACAAATCAGAGAACTTTGATGCCTGAGTTCTCATAAAAAGGCACTTTCCACTTATATTTGCAGTTATATCTGTATTGTTATACCTGCAAACACTAAGACATTATGAAATGAGAAAGCTATGCTTTCATCGAAACAAAGGATGTCTAATCGTCACAGCTGAATGTTTTATTTATAGAGATGAAATCCATATACATACTATTTTACATGGTCTTCATGTTCCTTTCACAGAATTTACTAGTTTAAAAGGATTTAACAGTCAATGTAAAGTCTAAATAGGAAACTCCACAAGAGAAGAAAATTATATCATGTTATTAAAGTCAGCCAGATAAACAATACCTTCTGATTGTGATGATATCATTATGTATTTCACAATGAACAATAAGACAGAAAACATTCACCTTGTTTCACATTCAGAATACTTGCTGAGATTCATATCTAAATGGTTGAAAGAACAGAAGGGTAATTGCATATTATTTTAATATAATAAAATCAAAATTATTTAAATCAGTAAGAATAAAAGTGCTTCTACATATTTTATGTGAGTGCTACTTTACTGAATTTATGTTTGTTTACAATTCCGACAAGCTACAAAATAGTATGATGCAGAGTCAGCACTGAATATGCATCTCCATTCTTTTGCAGATGAACTCACAGCATTATGCTCATTAAAAAGCCTTTGAAAACTAATATCTAAGTGAAATACTAGACTTAATGACTTCAAATAAATATCTCACAACAGAGCTGTATAACCATGCTGAAAACAAACCTCTTAAACAGTAGAAACACACATGCCAAACAAACAACGGTGGGCCTAATCCAGCGTGCGCTGAAATCACTTGTAATCTTGCCACTGATGTCAGTAAGAACTAGATCAAAAGAGAAAATATCACTACTTTTTTATTCCTGTCAGATTCAATCTTCCTTTATTTTCTTGCTACACCCAGCCAAAGATGGACTCCTCCTAGGCGAAAAAGGCAGACAAAAGTGAAGTGGTACATTCCCTTTAATACAAAAAAAGTCAGATATACTGTGTGCCAAATAAATACTATTCAAAGTCTTTGGATTATACTTTAAACTATCATAAAAAGGTTCAGCTCAACAGAGCACACATCACATGCCTAGGCAGCCCACACATAAGCCAAAAACCTATGTACATGGAATTAAGTAGTCACTTCAGAGCTCATGTGGAGCTTCCACAACAACTAAACATAAAGGTAGCCTTGAACTTTGCTCCATCCCCAAGATATTAGGCATGTACTTCCCACTCAGACTCCTCTCAGAGCAGAGCTACGTATATTTATGTTGATAAAGTTGTGTTCTTTGTACCAAATACTAATACTCCTCACTGGATCATAGAAGAATGTTCTACATTCATAAAGCTAAAAATGAGATCACATGATCATAAAGCTTGTAAATGAAATGATTCCTAAACACTCTGGTATGCTGGCGTCTGCACTTGCGCTCTGGTATCTGCTGAGGAGAGATATAAAATATGTGCATAGGTATGTAGGCAAATGCCATACTTCAGCAGACTTTAGGCGCATTGACCCAAGTTTCTTAACATACCGTGAGTCATCTTCTAGGGGTAAAGGAGAGAAAGTATATAATGATTCACGCCCGTGCTCCAGCCAAAAAGTCATTAACAAGCTACAGCTCTAGTAGCAGAAGTAGGCTAGCGCACATACACTTGAGCTCAATGTCATTAATACTGAAGAATATAATATTAATTATTATTATTATAATATTATGATATTAAACAATATCTGTGCATCTTTTTAATTTTATCATTTAACTTATTTCATCATTTAAGCGTGCTTGGCAGTTAATGGACTACATACAGACCCTGTCCAGGTAGGTTGCCTCGTTCTGTGAACTTTGGTTCGTATCACTGCCTGTGGAAGAATATTATGTATAGGCATGTCATTATTTTTAGTCATACTTAATCTAATCTTAATTGTAGCTTTCCAGGGATTAAATAGGTAGCATTAGAACTCAAGTAGACTTTTGTCTCTCGATAAAACTATTTATAGAGGCAATAAAATGCAGCATTGATTTTCTAGCTCTATTAATTTAGTAAAAAATGAAAAAAATGAAGCCAGTTAATTCAGATTTGTTGATCCATATCTAAATGCCTTCCAGAATTATTCCATTTGCTTCCTGTTTAATGAAAAATTCAGATCAATCGGAGATATCTCCTTGATGTGATGTTGTGTAAAATCTGCTAATTAGAAAGAAGGTATTAGAGTTGATGCTTTCAGCTAAATAGATGTTTATAGTAGATACTCAATTAAAGCTCGTGAAAAATGAGTAACAATTAGGCTTGAGGACAGAATAAGTGCTTGGGTATTTTTTATTTTTTAAGTCAGTGGAAATTACAAATTGAGATAATACTGTTCTCTACGTGCCCTCCCACATCGGGATAACAAAAAGAAATCAGTATATGAAATGTGAACAAGCCCTATCCATTCAGTCCTGAGATAAATATAAGTTTGACAAGGCAGCACACTGCATATCTGTGACAAACAGCAAAGCAGCTTAGCAGCCACTGTGATAAGATGAGAAACCCACCAAGGAGATCTTATGGCAACAGAATTCTTGGCTTTTTTACAAGAATTTGAAATTTCAGAGGCAAACACATATTACAGATTTCTATTCCTTCTTTGTCTCCTACTCTCCTTTTCTTTAAAAGCAAGCAAACAAAAAAAACCTAGAAGACTTATTTTTACTTCGGCAGATGCTAAATCCTACGTCTACATTAACGGCTGCGCACATAAGCTTCCACAATGATCTAAGCTGTGGGAGAAAGCATATTGAAGCTGCTGGATCAAACCGTTAAACAGGTAGCAAAGCACAGTTTTACAATGGCTTCTGCAACAAGTTCCTAGAGGAAAAAGTCCTGAGTGACTACTGGGATGAAAGACTCCCCTAGGTAAACCTCCTCCTGCCTAGCAGGAAGGGATTAGCTCAAGAGAAGGCTACTCATGCCCAGCCCCTGGGGAATGCTTAGATTTCAGAGGAACTTACTTGTACAGGCATGAGTCAGATACCGTATTAGAGCTGCCAATATTTACTATTTTCCATTAATGCAAACAAATAAGCAATAATATCAGAGAACTATGAACTATATATAGAATCAGGTAGCATTGTAATTGATGAAAAAGATAAGAAAGATGAACAGATTCAGGAAACAATTTCCCTATGCGGAGCGGGTTAGTAGATGGGAGCTTCTCAGCTTGAAAGAGAGAAAACTGAGTAGAAATATGACAAAGGCCAATTGAATCATACTAACTGGTATGAAGAATATAAATAGCAGATAATTAAAACTCAGCATCTCATAATACCAGAATTAATCAGGTTAAGAGTCTTAAAACAAACAGAAAAACACGTCCTTTTCCGCATAATACTGAAATTGTGAAACATATTGTTGTAGCAAGTTGTGGAGGATAAAAGTACAAATGGGCTAAACAGAAAATTAGAGAAATACCTTCAGAACAAGTCTTCTGGAAGCTAATGAAGAGTGGTCCAGAAAAAAACCTCTGAGCTCGGAAAGTCAGTGAAGCCTTGACTGTCAAAAGCTGAGGGGAGTACCCCGGGAAGAATAATTCTATGCTTCCCCTCTTTCTTCTACTATTCTAATAACATCTGCTCTTGGTCACAGGCTATTGGAGTAGACAGATTTCTATTCTGAACCAGAATTGCACTTCTTTTGTTCTTATAAAGAACATTTTTGAGGGAATATTTTCTTATCATGTATGTGGAAATCTAATTGGTATGCAACATGCAAACTTTTACTAAAATAAGATACTGGTAACAATTTACATATCTTTTGGTGTATATCTGAACAGGCATGCATGTGCAAAACTACTACTAACGCTAATGCAAACTAAGCAGAAGCGCTGAGGGGTGAATATGCCATTTTTAACTTACCTCTTAATGGATTAGCATATTCTCTTTCCTAAAAACTAATCAAATTGTGATGCCATAAATTCCAATTATGTTTGTAAGCATACACTGTATTATCTTAAATTGTACAGCAACTACAGTGTCTCTAATTGAAGCTATCTCAATGCAGAGCACCATTTTTAATTCCCAAGCCATTTTCCAGTAATGAAATAGCTGTATTCAGGGCACAGTAGGAGGACATGTTTGATAGTTACGTTAAATTATATTACAGATACCTTTGGGGAGCATCTAATTTATTTATTGGCTGAATGAAAGCAACTACTATTTTCCAATTTTCCAATGTGGAAAAAAAAAATTATTATTCATCCAAGTACTGCCTTAGATCAGTCTGTGAATATTTAGTTTAATTGCATATTTCATGTGTTCAGAAAAACTTGCAGACATGTTCACGTTTTTCATGTTACAGACTGCAGCAAACACTCCTGCCACCCCCGCTTCTAGATTAATACATTTTCTACAAGACCCTCAACAGAGCACAGGAGTTGTTCAAATATGGCTAGAAGTATTTAAAGTATGCAATGAATTCCATAATTTGTGAGTTGTAAAGCATATTACCCAAACCAAACAACTTAATGGACCTTAAACTTAGGGATCTTAAGTCAAAGCACATGCATTAGTAACTTGTTTTCTCTGATATAATAAAACATTATCAGTTCATTACCTACCTTCTCCATTACACTGACTGCAAGTCAACAGTCGACTTCTGAACTTCTCATTTTCCTCCAGCATTTTTGCAATTACTTTCCAGACTCTAAGCCAGACTTTAGACTAAAAGATAAAATTGAACTTTCTCAACGAAGCATGTGAAAAAGTCTGTATTAAAACATCTCCTACAGAACAGAACTTTGAATTCTCCAGGATAACTTTAAGGTCCAACCGGTTTTTTATTAAGAGCTTTTGAGGTGGGGTAGGAAGGCAAGGAAGAGAGGAGGAAGAATGGGAGATGGATATATATATGGGATATATTGTAAGAATCACCTTTATTTAGAAGTCGAAAATCATGAATTACTCCATGATTTTCTACATGAGACCTCCTCCTCCTTTCTCACTCTTTTTTATCCAGGACTTGTAGACTATCCTTTTGGAGAAGAACAGCCATGTGAAAACTTGTGTGGCGCTATTAAACGTCCTTTAAAGTCATTCAGAAAGGGAAAAAATGAGAATCATACAAAATTGCTCACTTTTTCAGGAGCCAAAACTTTCCTGCCTAATCCCTCCACAGCAGCATAGTTCAAACCCAGCGCCCAGATTCCAGCAGAGCAATGACCCAGCCTGTTTGATATCAAATCAGTATTAATCTGTCTTACACACATTGATGACCTTTATTTCAGAGGCATAAAATTCCATCTATAGCTGCCACATTTCAAACTTGTGTCACGATAAACCTTAAACCGGAACTGTTGACAAAGGCATCTGGACAGAGAGGCAGGCTAACAAATATAAATGGCTGTTAACATACTAACGTTATGACTTTTGCCAGACTCCATCCGTGAAACTAGTTTAAATCTAAAGGATTTCTTTCTCATGGACATTTATTGCTAAAACACAAAACATATTCCTCGTTCTTTTTGAAGACTATTTAATGAACTAGAAGAGCAATATTAGAGTGTGTTATTAGCTGTTCCTCTGAAGTCAGTAGTATTTTGCTAGTTTTAAATCAAGTATCTGTGACATTTCTGTATTATAGTCTAGCTGATTACTTGTACTTCACACATTACAAAATCTCATAACAAGTTACTTTTTTAATGAATGTGCCTTTTTAAATTTCAAGCTTTTGTTGAACTACTGAACAAGAACAGAAATACATTTAGGAAAGGGTAATTCCATATTGCTGCTAGTTTAGAGATAATTCCTATTACTCTTTCCTTCGTTATTTGTAACCTGTGGACTTTCTTTGCTCAAAATAAACTGAAGAGAAAGAGAAGCAGCAGAGCTTTTCCCTGCCGGGTTTCACCCAGCGAGATGTGGAGCTCTCTGGCCCCAATCCAGCAAAGCATTTCAGTACATGCTTAAAGTCAATAGATTACTCTCACTCTTCAAGGTAAGCGCATACTTAAGTGCTTTACTGAATGAGAGCCAGAGTTTTAAAGCCCCAAGAGAGGGAAAATAATCCCATTTTTCTTTCCTGTGAGGAAGGTTTTCAGTATCAGACTACCAATCCAATCTTTTAATCTCCCTCATGCTCTCACACACAAAGAACAAGTGGGAAACTATTTTCTTAGATGCAAAGGCAGCTCATTCAACTCTCACATTTTATACCTTTTGCTTCTTTCGTTTCGTTGCTTTATCAACCTTTCTTGAAGGGAAGGGAAAATCAAAGGTGTCAGCTGTATCCTCTCGACGGTCACCTAAGAAGAAAGTTTAAAAAGCATATCCTGAGTGTTTGCACTATATTTCTGAGGAAGCTGTAGATTCTCCATCTTCCAGAGAGGTATCTATTTCTGGTCCCAGCAGGTTACAAAATATCAGTCCTCGCATAGTGTTGACTACCACCTTGCTTATTTTCTCCATTAAAACCATGGGGCAAATCAGTTCCTCACATACAGATCAGTTCCTCACATACACATACAAAACAGATTTCAAAACAGTACAGCAGCTGAAAGCAAAGATGTCGGGCTTCTGGGCAACACAACAAGAAGTTGATAACTCCCTCTTTTTCCCCCTCGGTATGGTAGCTACTAATATCTTGTCTGAGCTAAAAGAGGAAATGATGACTAGGCTGAGACAAGAAATGAGATGAATCGCCTCTAGCAGCACTAAAAAGCAGAAGCAAGAAGGGCAGGCCAGACTCTTGGACTTGGGACACACATAGCCGCAAGGATTCGGTTGCAGCCGCTGGCTGGTTTCCTCCCACAGCAGAGTCCTCGAGGCCACCACGGCCCCTCAGCCACCCGTGCAAGGTAGCCACATCATGGGAGCAACCGCACAAGCAACCGACCACCACAGGCCAGCATCACTTAGGTTAGATAATAAACCAGCAAAACCAGTGCTTTTAATGACAAGCTCATGTGGCACTTTGCTTTGTCATCTTCAGAAAAATCACTTTTACAAGGAAAAAAAAATATAAGAGAATCTCAATAACTCCAGATCAGCGAGTAAGTAAAAACCAGGACCACCCTGTCCAGTGTTTCTGCTTGACAATCCTGCTTCTCCAGAAGCCGGGTCATGTTCCCCATTTTCCCTCCGTTTCATCTTGCGCAGCAAAAGTGTTTCATAACAGGTTGTAACCAGTGGAAAGCTGCCTAATCTTTTTGTTTGCTTTAAAAAAAAAAAAAAAAAGGCACCCACACCCCTGCCCAACCCAACTTTGTTTGGTCCCAGCCACAAAGAAAGAAAATTGAGAAACATGTTTAGGCTTCCCAGCGAGGGAGCAGAAAGCACAGTGGCACTCCGCTTCGGCAGGAGTCCAGTGAGAAAAGGCAGAAAGGATTCAGAAGTTTGGTGCATAACAGAGCCGCTCCAGAGGATGTATTTTATTTTTGGCCTTATAACTTCCGTGATTGCTTTGTTAGGAAAGGACACAGGAAGACTTAAGCAGCCTGGAGCTGCCTTACCTTACAGCATGGAGACACTGCGGCACAGCAGCATGAGAACTTGGGGCAAAAGTATTGAATTTTGCATCCCCTGTGAATTTAACGCCATTTCCCAACCCCTGCCTAGATGCCAGTTCAGTTGTACCCCGTAAATTCAGAGAACCGTGCAGCGTTCACCTCGAAGCGAGCCCGAGGGGACGACGCGAACAGCGCGACGCCCCCCTCCACCAGGAAAATGGCGCGACCCAGAGGAGGAGAGCCTGGGGGGGCCCTCGAGTTCAGCCCTGCGGCCGCCCGTGCCGCGAGGGCGCACGAGCTCCCC